TGCATTTAAATTTTTTATTGACGTGTGAAATCGTTAAAAGTGAATGTGGATAAAAGTAAAGATGGTGAGAAAGGAACTTTGTGTGTGTGAAATGAATGTGAATAAAGTCCTGGAAAGAGTCAATTATTTTAAACACTGAAGATTTGCATCCGAGTAGAGGAATTTCTGGAATTAAGGTGCAAGTAGGACAAGTCTGACAAGTTAAGTGACATGCAATGAAAACTCTTAAGAAACAGACGTTGGAAGAGATAAAGCCAGAGGACTGCATGAACGGCATGCAAGTGCCAACCTTTACACACAAAGCAAGACAACGGTGTAGTAGGATGGTGAAAATTCACAAAATGGACCTGAAGCACATGTATTGTATTAGGAGTATCTTGAGGTTATCTTGAGATCATTTCAGGGCTTTAGTGTTCCCGCGGCCCGGTCCTCGACCAGGCCTCCACCCCCAGGAAGCAGCCCGTGACAGCTGACTAACACCCAGGTACCTATTTTACTGCTAGGTAACAGGGGCATAGGACAGTATAGATAGGGCAAGGGATGAAAATGTTAGATGTGGAGTGCAAAAGTTGATCATTCACAAGAGTGTGAAGAGCACATCAATTGAGATGGAGTGGACATGTTGAATGATAGGATGATGGTAGACTGATGAATTCAGTCTATATATTCAAGTAAATTTGGGGGGTAAAAGAGCTCTGAAAATCAGGCAAAGATGGACAGATATGGCAGGTCTGAGAAAGCAAGGACTGAATGTGAAGACACAGGATACAATAAGAGACAAGGCTGGGTGGCAGCTGTGTGTAAGACGAGAATGAATGACTTTCCTCTTGTGCCAAAGTAATTGGCCCAAAACAGAATCTTAATCTAAATCATTACCCCTTTTATAATTTTCATGGGATGGATGATTTTCCTACAGGAAAATAGCTGACTAAAACAGAGAAATAAAGTTAAACATGCACAAAAAGACTCAAACTTAACATAGTCCACACTAAAGAACATCAAACACAATCAGCACTACCACACATCAGAAAAGCATCCACAACAGCATTCTATTGCATCTTGTAACTGTATGCAAGGTGCTTCTCTTCATTCATAATTTAAAACTATCTTAAACATAAGAAATGGCTTCAACCTCTGCTTATTCCTCACGACTTCTCACGAGCTATTCACTCCACATCTGCTGCTTCTCATACTCGATACCAATTTTCTTGAAATTCACACAAACATTATTATTCCACTATTATTGAATGGAATATACCAATAATATATACTGTACTCAATACCATTATTATTCCACAAAAACCATCGACTTCCTGCTTGCAAACTGCTTCCACCCAGCTTTGTCCCTTAAAATATTTCCACGAGTAGTTCACACGCTTCCCTCACTTCCTCGCACTCATTAACTATGTCCACCCATAGGAAGCCGGTCGTCCGAGCGGACAGCACGCTGGACTTGTGATCCTGTGGTCCTGGGTTCGATCCCAGGCGCCGGCGAGAAACAATGGGCAGAGTTTCTTTCACCCTATACCCCTGTTACCTAGCAGTAAAATAGGTACCTGGGTGTTAGTCAGCTGTCACGGGCTGCTTCCTGGGGGTGGAGGCCTGGTCGAGGACCGGGCCGCGGGGACACAAAGCCCTGAAATCATCTCAAGATAACCCACCTTCTCAGCCTTCCTCCCAACCTATTTTTAAATTCACTCTTCGGCAATCTATAATAATCGATTAATTCAACATGTGCAAATCATCTTGGTACTCACACTTATCTTGCTGTTTATTGACTTTTACCCTCCGCATCTCTACATAAGTACAGGTATGTACTTATACAGTATGTATGTACTCTACTTTGCCCTCTATTTTTCTAAAAGGATTCGATATTAAACAATGCTGAAAAACATTATCTTGGGACTATGCTATTTAGCATACAAAAATTTTGTATACTTGATCCCTTGCTTCACAACAGCAAATGGTTTTCCCCTTTACAAGAGGAAAAGTCCAAGTGCAGAAATTGGTACAAGGTGCAAAGCCCCTAACATCAGAAGCTTAGCTATGATACAGTATTATATATATATATATATTACTAGTATATATGATATGTAGAGTACTGTATATGTTAACAAAATTAGTAAATAAAGTAGAAGGGGGAAAAGAAAAACACGAAAAAGAACAAGTGACAGGAAGAGGATGCAAGAAGCTATTACAGAACAAGTGGGTGGGGGCTAAGTACAGTAATGCAGACGAGGAGTCACAATAACGTGGCTGAAGATATGGTGACCAAACCACACATCAGAAGATGAAGAAATGCCGATGTTTCGGTCCGTCCTGGACCAGATAATGGTCCGGGACAGACCGAGACACCGTCGTCGTCTCCCTCTTCTGGTGTGTAGTTTTGTCATCATAAGTACAGCGATGTTTAGTCATTTTAAACTATATACAGGTAGTCAATTATGGAAAGAAAATATTTAATGTTAAGTATAGTATCAAAAACCTGGGTGCAACAGTTGGCTGGTCATTTACCCATAACCTTCATGACAAAGCCATGGCATGCAATAACCTTGTTGGATGTGCAATGCAGAATTGTTTAGGTTGAAGGTCGTGGAGGCGTTAGCTGTACAGTGAGTGGTGTGCAAGCCTGTTCGTGAAATCTCACCTGGTAGTCTGAGATCAGCAAGCACCTCAGCGTTACCTTGTGAGATTACACCAGCAAGGCCCTGTGCGTGCATAAAGTGGCATTCAAGTTAATGGTGAAGTGAATAAAACAAATATTGCAACTGTAAGCCCAAGTCATAAAACTGTTCAGTAAGTGAGTATTCCAAAGTAAACGATGAGTTTTGAAAATTAGTGGCCAATGAAATGGAAATTAACTATTAAAATCGGTTACAAAATCTAATAAACGGCAAATTTTCTTTTATCAAATATTATGAAAAGTTATTGTAAACATGAAAAATTTTGCACAGTGAATATTAATAATTAGCATCTGCAATAACTGTACAACTTGAAAGCTTGAGCATTCAGCTACGATCTTTGGACTGAATATACCTGTACATCAATTAACCAACTAGAATCTGGTTTACTGAATATCTCATGCTGAACACCACCAGAAGCTCCATATGCTGTCACCCTTAACTCTGCTTTAATCTTCAATATAACCTCCTTAATGGTTATTGACAAAACACCTAAATTTTTACATTTGGTTTGATAATTGTAAATGTCTAATTTTTAACCAATTTGAACTTCCTCTTATCACACAAAGCCACCATATATTCAGCTAATACACCGATTTACAAACATCAATATAAAGTACAATATATGTTGGCATTATATATATAAAGCCAATAAACTTCCACATGTTATGGTGCCAAGTAATGTGAAAACTGTCATTAAATGTACAAAACTGTGTTTTGGTGGATTTTTGTGACAAGCTCATTTCTTAACTTTTTCAAACTTGGCTACTTTTTTTTTTTAGCCGATAAATATTTTCATCTAAAACATTGTTATAAGCATGTGTGGAATATTTCTGAAAAATTACTCATTTTGCTCTGTTATAGTTAGAGAGTTTGCATGCCAATTAATAGTCATCTATCCCTCACTGCAGTGAACTAGTCTGAGCCACAATTTATTCAACCAATCCAAAAAAGTTGCTTTGTTTCAGTATGGAATCACTGGACGTGTCTGAGCCTCTATATCACACTACTGTACTTTAAAAATCCGTTATTCGTTAGACGAGCAAATTTATTACATTCTCCATCACCCCAATTGCTCTAACAATTACTAAAAGAATGCATGCAGCCAAACCTCAGCTACAACATGTACTTTTAAGGTAACTTTACCACATATCACGCAGTTCTAGATAATAATTAATGGATCTATATGAAAGCATAAAAAAGCATCATAGCATTCATCAAAAATGCAAAGCTACAAATCTTGAAGCAACCTAAATAATTAATCTACATAAAACTAAAAAATTAAGTCATTAAGCACTTTACAAAAAAAAACAAAAAACATAATAAAACATAAGAGGCTTATCGATAAATTGCATCAAACAAAATCATAAAAAAGCAAGCATGCAACCATCACAGTGGATGATAAAACAAAATATAAATGATAACGCAGAATGTAGATGAGAGGCTGAGCGGAGGGAGGACGTGAGGGTGCTGGGTTGTGCGGGTGAGCAAAGGTGGAGGAGAATGCGAGCTACTAGGAGGCTTCTCACCAGTAGAGGATCACAGCAGCTCGACGCAATACCAGTCAGAAATTTGAGGCACACACTGCGCACAACCCAAATTTACCAGCTGATATTTAGTCGGTCTACGTTTTCCATTGCCTTTCCCAGGTTTCCTTGCAGTCAGCGAACCAACCACCATTGAGAAGCAACCAATCAGTGCGTGCCCTTGCCCAACCAGGAAGCCCCACCCTTTAGTCATTTTGAAGCAACCAATCACCATGCTTCATATCTTAGCAAATCATATCAACATCAGTTTTCATGTACATTATGAGGCTATTAACACCTTACATATCTAAAGAAATAATTTACAATACATGCAAAAGAGGAAAGAAAAATTATCATCAAACAAGGGTCAAAGAATTAATACTACTTAAGAGAAATTCAATTCCATTATACCAATAAGGTATAAAAAGGATTTAACATTATATAACGTGAATTAACACACATCTTGCTGTAGAGCTCACATGCTGGAACATCAAGATGGCAATATTCTAAATATAACTAGCCTACCTAAATACATATAACCACAATATACATTATGATAAAGCTTCATAAATTTGGAAGAAATTATCTGGAACAACAATTTATAAAATTTAAATTAATTATTCTACCGATTAACCAAAGCAAGACATGAAATGAAGATTAGTTCCAACAAATTAACACAAGTCCCACTTTCACTGGAAGAAATGTTTCCTCTGCTTGCAGAATGGAGAAGCACTAACCGGGGCATTGTAAGACGAGAGAGAGAGAGAGCGAGCTGATCAGTGCTACATCTTACCTTGAGCCTTAAGAGCAACAATCATCTGTTCTCTCTTCGCCAGTTGTTCCCCAAGTCTTGATGCTGCTGCCAAGCCACTCTGAACCTCTGCTAGTTGTGCCTGAAGCAAATTAACACTCATTTGTTTATAGTCGTAAAATGCCGCAAGGACAATGGCAAGTATTAAACAAAAATGAACATTACTGACCAATACAATTGGATATCACAAAATAAATTGTTAGAAAACTAGCTATCTACTGTATATAATTTCACTATCCCCCTTACCCCATTCCAAATTATACTCTTACTTTTATAACAATTCAAGACCTTAAATATTAAAAGAAAAATACTAAAAATTGCTTTTATGGAACAATTGAGCCTACTTCTTGTTTATTTGAAAGATTTGAAAAAAATGCATCTCAACAATATCTTTAAGCAAATTGTTGCTATCGTAAATTCTTGCGCAACTAACACCTTTAACAGATAAATTCGGGTGTATTGCTCCTGCAGATAGTGTATAACATTTAAGATCATTTTTATACATTTGAGAGAGTTTTCCTTCCCCACAGCTTGAAATAAGCTGTGGGAAGCTTAAAATAAGCTTTTATTTATTTATTTATTTATTTATTTATTTATATACAAGAAGGTAAATTGGGTTTGTGAGAATACATAGCATAGTACAGTATTTACAATCTTGTAAAGCCACTAGTACGCGCAGCGTTTCGGGCAGGTCCTTAATCTAAACAGATAATTTTAAGTAGGTAAATTCTATCAGAATTAATAAAATGATAAATACATTGCAAGAAAAAAAATGAGATGAGAGAGATTAGTAAGTATATTAAAGCTCTGATTGATTACATTGACAGCTTGACTGGTAATTGATGATAAAAATTGATTGGTAAAATTGATGGTAAAAATTGATTGTTTTGATTGGTAAAAAGCTTTAGGAAGCTTTAAATAGGCTGTGGGAAGGAGAGCTCTAAACCTGCTAACAGGAGTCAAGTCATCTACTCCTGTACTAACCTGTGTGAAAAAAGTACCGGTCAAAAAAAATTACAATGTACCGCAAAGAAAAAAGAAAAAAAGCCAGTGGGCTTTTTACACCTACCTGCTTGTACACAAACTGTGGTAGAGTACACTACACTACCTTGTACACTGGTATTTTTATACAAAAGCCAGTGCGTTTTTACACTACCGCCTTGTAGAGTACCGTAATACTCTACTTACCTTTAGACTATTAATCTGTGATGTGAGTGAAGTGGTTTTTTGCTTTTCATCATCCAGCTGCTTTCTCGTTCTCTCTGTTGCTTCGGCTATTTCACGCACTTGATTCTTTTGGAAATCTTGCAATACCTGAAACAAGCACAATATTCTGCCTAGCATTATATAATCTTCAAAAAAATTAAATAAAATAAAAAAATAAAAATACTAAAGACAGCAATATTAATAGCACTAGTTCTAACAAGCAGCAATGTACATCACCATCCTTATCATAATCACGAACACAACCACTAATCACCACCGTCCCCACATAGAAAACTGGAATACAGTTTCAGAGTTATATACTGTAGTAGCCTTAGAATTTTTTCCATTTCCTTATCTGAGCATCGGTGACAGTTATTGATGACGCTTCATAATCTGACACCTTTATGCTACCCATCACGTAAGCCACAGTAGTACACAGCTCAAGAATAAAGGAGGGTCAAGGCGATGATTTGTGGCAATGGTGGTGTTGAATATTTAGTTGTATGTGACTAGTGGAAGGTGGTGGGAGAGCACAATGCGAAGAGTTTTCAAAAGCTGTGCATTCTGTTATAAGCTCCACCATCACATTATTTTTGTGTGTGAATATACACCAAAACCTTACGTTCGTGCAAATATGGTATGTATTTTATCTAGAATTCAGATTATTAACACTTAAGTTATCCAACCTGCTGAAGTGTGACTAACGACTGCTGGTGTTGCTCGGCATTTTCTTCAGCCGTTTGTAAGCGAAAGACAGCATCATCCCTTCTGGCCGTCACCTCACGAAGCTGCTCCTGCAAGGCCTCAACCTGAACACTTGCTCGTTGGCTGTGAAGAGAAATGCAAAAAGATACATTTTATAATACAACTAAAGTATTAAAAATCGAGTTTCAAATTCGAGAAACATATATAGATATGTACCACATTAACATACTGTATTTACTAGTGTGACATAGGCAGAAAATAAGGTTTCTAAACTGCTGATATGTAGAAGCTGTCTGAATATGAACAACTTTACATTAGGCCAAAGATGGCTATGGGAAGAGATGAGAGAGGTTTTAGCTCTGGCTTTGAGAATAATAAAAGAAGGATGGTGAGAAGGGAAGAGTGTGCTGATAAGTTGGAGTCTAGACAATAGAAGCATTCAGTTACCATCTTTGGAATGAATTATCAAATGCAAGAAGAAATGCGGTGAAAACAACTGGGCACCTATACTCTCCCATCAGAGGAAACCACCCCACATTTCAGAGTCAGATGGTTTAACACTACAGGTTGTTTGCTACGTCTCTTATTTGAAATTACAGTACAGTACATTACAGTAATGTAATGTACAAATCATTACAGTACAATTACATTACAGCAGAGTACAGTACTAAGTCAGTTATTTCCTTTTAATGCAGAGAGATTTTTGGCATGATGTCAAGACTCCAATTTATTAAATTTAATTTTCAGATGGCTAAGTCTTGGGAGATATTGTAAAGAAAAATTATCAGTCTACTGTATTCCTTGCAAATGTGCTTATTATCACTGTACTTTTATGTCTTAAAAAAAATAAATAAATAACAAATAACTTACTTAGCTGTGTTAAAGAAATTTGAATGATTATTGAGTTTTTCTTCCATTTTCGAAAGAGTGGAGCGAAGGGTGGCTTCTCTCTCCTCAGCCTTCAAGGCCTCGGTGGTGTACGACTCCTCCACTGCAACAAGATGCTGCCGCAACCGCTCGCACTCCGCTGCAAGGCGACCCTCCTTCTCTCTGATGTTACTTAACTAATGAAAAAGATCTTCTATTTATAATTTGTCAAAGTGTCTAAGCAATCAATCTATAAACGTGTACAGTACTGTAATAAAATTGCTTAGATTACAACTTAACATTATAATAACAGAAAATGTAGTATTATGTACTATACTGTATTTGTGAGTGAGCAATTCATACTAAAACTATGACAATTTTCTAAGGCAAATTACTTATTTTCCCTCACAGTTGCCACTAATGAGATTGAAAACTTAAGTATTCAAGTGAAGGTCCTGGTGAAGCTCCATCATTAAGAGGTGATGCAAAGACTTTGCTTAACACAAGTACTCAGAGCATGAAGAAATTAAAGGGTATGAATGGCATCTCATTTAGTATTGCTATTATAATTTGTTCAAGATTTGTAAATGAACATAATACTGCCATCAAGCTGAGGCCATGGAAAAACCCACCGAATCTTCGGTACACAAACTCGTGAAAATAAGAATTTACTGCAATAAACAAAATATTCATCCAGCTTAGAAGTGAACACGTTAAATCCCACTGCACAAAACTGGGAGTCCAACTCTCCAGTCTACTCCCTAACCCCACGAGAAGAAAAACCGAGTCAGGATGACAATCTAACAAGAACTTTTAAAAGGCATTTGTCAATTTAATTTTACCTCTTTGCTCTGGTCTTGGTACTGTGTGTTGAAATGTGAATTTGCAACACGAAGCTGATCTCTTTCTTGCTCCACTGTTGCCAGCTTTGTGCGTAATGATTCAATTTCTTTGCGCAAACCTATAAGCTGTAGAATAAAAGTGTTTAATAAATTATCATTAAAAGCAAAGAACAGTACTTGCTTTACACCAAATTTTAAAATCTGCACTAGAAATTTTTTTAAAATATTTAATATTTTACGCTAATATTTTTATCTAAAATTCAAATAAATTGTTAATATCAATTTTACATAATCTTGCATGCTTGAGTATATGTATATAAGTACAGTATGTGGCAACCATGTTACTTCAAATATCTAATTTCAGTACATTTATATAACTTGGCCATAAGAACAATCAGGAAAAAAAGTACTCTATCATACCTCAGTTTTTTGCACAATTCCTTCTGCAGCATTTTTCTGAAGTTCACTTTGAACTTTCTTCAGAGAATCGAGCTCTTCCCGGAGTTTTGCTACTTGTGCTCGAGCCTCCGTCAGGGCCGTGTCCCTCTCGGTTAGCTGCGACGATAATGACGCTCTGTCCTCGTTAGACTGTTGAGTCGTCTAAAGGAAGAAAGACCTGGGTTACCCACAACTGCCTCCAGCATCAACTCTTCATTTAATGCAGTGCAAGATACTAATCCACCCATACCAAAAATAAATGCAGATTGTACAGTGAAACGCACAATTTGTTCTTGACACTGACATGCGTTGTTTCTCTGTTTGATTTGCGTTCTCTTTTTTAATATTTAAGAAAAAAATTTAATGCTCTTGTTCATATTTATCATTATATAACTCATAATGGCGACCATCCTGAAGAATAAGAAAACATTTACACACAAATTAAGAAAAATTAATTCAAGTACTCTTATAAATTGACAAATATTCATAACATCCATCACAGTTACAGGCTCACTTTACTAAACAGTATAACATACCTTAATTATATCAAAACACTTGTAGGAATACTGTAGTTATAATGTAAATATGACTTGTCAAAAGTTATAGTAGGGGGTGGAAGTTTAGGCTGCTGCTGCAGTCAGACATTTTCTTTTAAACATTACAGGTGGAAACTATCTTGGGACCTGACAGTTGTTTTTTTTGAGACAAGACACAGACACAGACAGACAGACACAGACAGACAGACACACAGACACAGACAGACACAGACAGACACAGACAGACTCTGCGTGTAAATAAAGACTCGCCTAAAATGATGAACGTAAAAACAGCAAGGATTATTTACAAAAAAAAATACAAGGCGAGACTTAATGCTTACACACCACAGATCAATTATTGCTACACACGCACACGAACACATACGTGGACGCATGTGTGTGCCAACTATTATTACTCGCTAGCCATTACCCGAGTAAGGACTTGTGTTAATCGCTGGATCTCTGCATGGTATGACACACTTTCTTGATGCTTCTGAGTAATTGCTGCAATCATCTGGTCCCTCTCTAACTGAAGGCTGCTAAGTTGCTGCAAGGCCAAGTCCTTTGCTGCCTCCATCTCATGCCATTCTTTACTCAACCTCTCTTTGTCTTGCAGTAATTCATTTTTTTCTTGCGACAGCTTAACGTTCTCACCATGCAGAGTTTGTTCCCTTTTAGTTAAATCTGCATTATCACTTGCTAAACTGTTTCTCTCACTTTCTAAATTTATGAGCTCAGTTTTCTCAAGCTGATCAATTTGTTGCAGCAACATGGTAATTTGTTTATCTTTATCCTTTATTTCATTATCCTTTTCTCTTAATATCATGTTCATGTTGCTTTGCTCAGAAGTTTGCTGCCCTCGACTCGTCTTCAGATCCTCATTCTCAGATTGTAAGCGTAAAATTAATTCCTTATCATAGGCAAGCGTATTCTGGAGTCTTTTGTTCTCTTCATTAGCACCAGTCAGTGCCTCAATTCCCTGGGTCATCTTTAATATGGTATCATTTTTCTCTAACTTTATAGTATTCAACTCTTCTTGTAATGAAAGAGCATTCTGATCCCTCTTGTTTATTTCCTCTGAAAGCTTCAATACTTTCGCTCGTAGCTCAGAAACCTCTCTCTCATAATTCTCCAACTGTTTTTTGTAACAATTTAGCTCTTGCTCATTTTCTGCTATTCTAGTTGTCGTTTCATTTTCATTCTCAGAGCTCTGTTTCTTACACAAATTTAACTCTCCTTTTAAGTCATTGTTATTTTGTATTAATTCTTCTATTCTTGCATCTCTTTCTCTCAAAGTATTTTCTGATGATAAATGTTTATCATGTATTTGTTTGTGCAGTTTGTCAACATCTTTCACATTCACCTGGAAAATCTGCCCAATATCCTCCAGTACCTGTGATAATTCATCAACCTTGTCTTCCTTGAATATAAGCTGTGATTTAATACAGTCAAGTTCTTGCTGCATTTTAGTTAGTTTTTGCTGGCAGTGAGCTAGAGCCTCCGAACTGGAACTGGCAGCTCCAAAATTCTCGTGAACTTTCTCCTTTAAACTATTCAGTTCAATTTCAAGAGCTCTGATTGTGGAATCTCTATCTTCTACAATATGATATTGATTGAGCAACTGTTGACCAATTGAATCTCTCTCGTGTTGTGAGAGTGTCGTCTCTGCCTGAAGACACACTAGTTGCTCATGTAGTGCGTCTGCTTGTTCTTTGAATGTATCTCTCGAATCTTGAAGAGTTATAGTTTCCAGGTCTAACTGTTGAGTTAGTGATGCTAACTGCATCTCTAAGGACTTTTTCTGAGCTCTCAAAGCTGCAGCTTCTGTTTCCAAATTAACCAAGTTTCCAGTCCGTCCCTCTGCTTCATGAAGTTGACCCTGTAAGGTCTCACGCTCTGCTCTTATGATGGCCACTTCAGTTTCCAGGTTCCTCCGAGCTTCCGACAAGGCTTCTACTTGTGCCTGTAATGCTTCAATCTCGCCTGATCTTCCCTGTTCTGCAGGTTCATTGTGTTCCTGCACTTTAACCTCCTGGCTCTCCTCTACCTGCTCTCCATCAATATCTCCCTCCACACCTCCTTCACTCTCCTCTTCTATGGTTGGCAGTCCCCTGCTGCTACCTTCCGGTGGTGGTCGCACTCCTTTTTGTATCTCTTCAAGTTGGTCCCGCAGATCTTCGCATTCTCTTTCAAGATCAGTCTGTGATAAGAAATTAGAACAGTTTAAAATTTAATGCTTGAAATGTAGAGTATTAATGCCCCTTCAAGATATTCCTAACTGCTATAGTGACTTTTATGCAGCCTTCCCAGCGTGTGCTCTATTTCGTCTTGTACTACTTCTGTGATATTTAGAAGCATGATAATTCTTTATGGCTGGTGCAAATAACTGGCCTTAACTAAATACAGTACTGTACACTACATTGCTTTCTCATGTCCTAATAATTACAATTACTTTTTAAATCAGATCAATATGTTCCTTAGCATATTGATCCAAATGAACATGTAGTAACAATATTCAAACTTAGTTTAGCAGAATAAGTAGGTTTACACCAATTCACATGGAGTTATTCAAGGCACTTTCCTATCAGACTCACACTGTGGCCCAAAACATTCTTACAGGGCTTCACATATAATCACAAAAGTTAGATTTGTTTTATGAGAAGAGCTTTCAATAAATACTGTATTTTATACAATTTTGTTTCTTGTAAAATGTTTCTTGTATTTAATGAAATATACTTTTGTATTCCAAATTTACATCTGATAAACCATTTTTTCTATTCCATATTCATATCGAGTGACAACTAGTAATACAAAGGCAAAGTACTACAAATAATTTACTAACAAATGACATGAATATTGACAAGAAGGTACCATTAACAGACAAGAACTTACACGAGTTGCTTCTGCCTCATTAAACTGTTCCATCTTCTCTCTAAGCTCCTGGGTGATTGTCGACACGTGCCTTTCTAAAGTATCCCTCTGCCACACTGACTCACTCAGAAGTAGAGCCAGTCTGTGGATACCAGCCTTCACAGTTTTGGGGGCCTGAAATCAAATACAAAAATTTCAAATAGAAATAAAAACTTTATAAACTTCTAACTATAATGTGACCTGGTGTGTTCACAAAGCAGGGCCCAGACGATGATTTTGTCCCGTGTGTTTGTACAGTATAGTGTATATGCTTTGACACTACCAGTGACCCTCGACTGGTGCGGTATTGGATTATGCAGATTTGGAGTTATTGTATATTCGTAAACACACTGTAGAGTGCGCGTGAATTTTGGAGTTACATGGATGAAGTAGTCAGGATCGACATGGTTTATTCAGGTGAAATTCTTGGCCTATTGTGTTATCGGCAGCGAGTCTGGCAACCCAACACTTATGTTCTTGTAAATTACAATACCTTTGGGTCATATTTATGCATTATTGCACATCCCTAAGCATTCTGTACTTCATTATGTATTGGATTTTTGGCTGAAAATTGCAAAATGCATTAAGGTAAAGTTGTGTAAAGTTGAAAAATAGTCAATTTTAGGTTTCTGAAACTTAGCTTTATTTTAAGGTGGAGTACTGGTATATTGCACCTTAAAGTTTGATTTGCAAATTTTATTTGTAGGAATATATCCCCTACACAAATCAAGATGTTGTCATTAACACATTATTACATCTTAATTGCAGTATTGTATACAGTATTGGAATCAACTGCATTCTGTGATTTGAGAAATCACTACAATATAGGTTACCCAATTTTTTTTTTTTACCCTTTTCAAATAATATTGTGAAGATCTGCATAATTTTTACAAAGCAATTTTTATTCAGTACCTTAATTTATGTTCCAGCATAAGTAGCCCTTGATAACATGACTATTATAAATTACCAATCACATCACACATAAGAGCAATTGTGAATTTTACGTTTCTAGGCAATATTGCACACACAGTTGCACAAGGCATAAAAACCTGCAAATAAATTGCACAAAAAGAAGTCCTCTTTCTTTAATATAACTATGAACTGATGGGAAAAAATCCAATTTCTTTTCCCCCACTTTCACTATTCTACAATAAATATTATTTTTAATATTTCCATTTGTTTAATTTTAATAGACATTACAAATATAACTTGCATCTTAATCTCACGTATCCACTTTAATATACGAAAGGCCATTTATATTTTACACAGCTTCATGACGCAACAATATTAATTGGATTAAATATTCTCAAGCTGGTAGTCAACAAATCGGAGCTTGCTTACCTCTTGGCTGTTATGGAGAAGTGCCTTCTTCACTTCATCCATCTCTTCCTTCCTCAGCTTCTGAAGATTTTGCAGATCATGTTCCGTGTGTTTTACTTTGGCTTCAAGTTCAGCTATTCTTGTATTGGCTATCGTTATTTCTTGGACTTTAGCTTGTAACTCTGACTGCAGCAGCTCTGTTTTAGTCTTAGCATCTTCAAAAGCATGAGACTTGTTTTGTAATTCTTGTTCCAGGTTACTCTTTGCAGTTTCTGCAACAACAAGTTTTTCTTCAATTTCCTTCATCTGCTTCTGCTCTTCTTTTTTGGCATCATGAAGGACTTTCCTTTCTACTGCAGTCATGCCGAGTTTGGCATTTTCTTCAGTAAGACTTTCAAGCTGATTACGAAGGCTTGCACACACTGCTTCTGCTGCAGTTCTCTTATCTTCGGCAACTTTGCACAACTCCTTCAGATTAGCCTCTGATGATCTCAGCTGAATAAGCTCGACCTCCATTTTCTCTATACTAGTACTGAGCATTATATTGGACTGGTGCTGTTCGTCATACTCTCTCCGTACATTACTTAATTCTTCCTTGACCTTGGAATTTTGTTCCTCTTGGATTTTCTGCAATTTAATCTCATCTTTAACACTGACTAGTTCCTCTTGAAGTTTCGTTTTTTCTAAAAGGAACTGCTCATTCTCTTGGCACAAGTGTTGGATCTTTTCACTAAGATTTGACAACAAAGAAGACTTTTCATCAAGCACTGCTTGCAGTGAATGTTTCTCCTGCATTGATAATTCAAGTTGCTCTTTGTAAGCTGCAAGAGAAACTTTCTCCTCCTTGCATAGTAGTAGTTGAGCCTTGATATTCTGCATCTCCCCGTCTTGTGTAGCCTTATCTGCCTGAAGCTCGGCCACCTGTTGAGTTAACTGGTCATGCTCTGCCTTCATGACCTCTATCTCCTCTTGAACCTGGCTTCTCTTCTTCAACATTTTATCTGAAATATAAAATAATTATTTAATTCAGAGATAGAGAGAGAACTATAGAAGTTTTATCCGAGAATATAATAACTGGATTGAGAATGTACCACTTAATCACTAAAATTTATAAGACAATAACCCATAGTATTTTATTTATTCAAAGAGCAACCTTCCCAACAAATATGAAGTTGCAATTATTTAGTAAAAACTCTGGACATTTTAACATATAATAAAACATCTTACCAATGACTGCTTGATGCTGGAAATCCAACTCCTCCATGCTTTTGGCATATTGCTCATTCTCCGTCTGTAGTGTCTCACACATTTCATTTAACGAAGACAACCTCTCTTCCGTTGTTTTAACCTGAATGTACAGTACAGTGTATTATAAATTGATACAAAATAAAAAGAAAGTGCAGTGTGCTTCCTAATTGGGAGGAAAAGGGTGGGCCACTAGTGGCAGTAACCACGTCACCAACAATTTCCACCGATTTTCAGTGATTCTTGGGTGTGCGAACGGGAAAACTATATAAAGTAGGAAACCTCGTGAATCTAACTCGTACAATTTATCCAAGACTTGTAAATATGCAAGTACCCATTACTCAATATAACATTAACCTTTACTGAGAGGAGGGGTTAGAATGGTGATGGTTTAGAATGTGTTAAACTCTTGAATGTTAACTTTACATTTTTCATTTAAGTCTAATGTGCACCTTGCTTAATTGTGTATTAAATTATCTGTACTAAGCCATCTCCTATGCCTGTGCTATTAACCCAATAACAAAGTACTGTAAGTGAAAAAGAGAGAGAGATTATAAGAATTGGTGTGACATGTGAATGTAGTGATGGTGGCAAGGGAGGTACTTTTGGAATACTGTAAATAATAACTACTGTATTGGGAGATTGCTTCTGATACAGTACCAGCAAATGACTGCCATACTAGGTCCAAACTCCTGTTTCAAAGACTAGATGTTTGGTCAAATTAAGATTTAAAAGCAAAGCAATTTCATTAGTCCTACAACTGACAGTGATTTATAAAAATATGTAAAAATGCAGTATCAAAGTTTAAATACAGTATGGAAGAGATACTGTAATATACGAACTATGTGACAACTGTGTAAATTCATGAGCAGCAGCAGCAGCAGCAGCAACAACAAAAATTAATAAATCACAACTTAAATAGAGAGCACCAGTGATAAAACAAAAAAATGTCCAAGTTATAATCCCAATGTAAAGACTTGGTGGTGGTAGCATGTATGTGGGTCAAACAATTTTCAAAAGACAGTATTGTACTAACCTTCTCGTTACTTTCCTCCAGCTGTTTCTGGAGACACTGAACAGCACTTTGGAGCTCGCTTTTCTCCCTCTCCAACTGCTGCTGGAACTGTGGACACACATTTTGTTGACAATGTTTCTGAGAGTTGAGTTAATTCATCCTTAAACTTTTAAATGGCTCGGCCAATTAAAAGTTTTACAAAGTCGTTTGCATGGCAAAAAAAAAAAAAAAAAGTTTTCACAATACAATGTAAAAAAAAAAAAATCTCATCAGGGGATTGAGTACAGGAAGCAGTTGCAGATTGCAATTGGAGCCATTTAAGGGTTAATTAACCTTATCTACTGAACATATTAATATCATATTTATTACAATGTCAATAAATAACTTCTACCCAATAGTCTTGCCAGGAAAGAGACATTCATCGCTAAGCTTTACATTGCAACTAAAGCTGCAAAAAATATACTGTATACGGAAGTTAGGGCTATACATGGGGGGAAGATTTTTTTTTTTATATATATAAAGACAGTGCAGTCTTACCTCTGTTCTGTAACCTGTTTCATGGCCATTGTGGCTGTTTTCAGTGATAGTGGCAGCACTTGCTCCCTCTGACAGCCCATCGTCACTCTGTAAACCAAGATTAAATTTAATTACTTTTGTATGCTTTTCACGTAACAATATCGACCAAACCACACACCAGAAGATGAGGAGACGACGATAATGGTCCAGGACAGACCGAAACAAGTCAATAATGGGCCATTTTACATTCTTAATACTAATAATACTTAATACTACATTTGATTATAATGGTCCAGGATGCACCGAAACGTCGCCGTCTCCTCATCTTCTGGTGTGTGGTTTGGTCATCATATCTTCAGCCAAATTATTGAGACATTGTCTGCATAACAATGTCAAAATGTGTATCATTACACACACCATAAGAAATAACTTCATATAAGGATAACGTGTGTGGGAAAATATCTACACGTGTACAGCATAATGCGTCTACGTTCAACAACAGTGTCCTACAGAATGGTATAGCAACTTTGCTATAGATAGGAATCAGCATGAAATATTGATGGAAAATGTACAGTATATATATATACAGTATTCATGGAATTTAAAGACCTTCACAAATAATGATGTGCTGAAGGCTGAAACTGCGAAAGGTTTCAGGTATGGATAGATTTCATAACCTCTAAAGGATAATAAGGCAATGTTGTACAGTTGAAATGCATAGCTATCAGTCCACCCGAGACTACTAATGTACAACACAGTATTTCATTACTCTGTTACAACTAATGAAAAAGTTGTACAAGGTTGAACAGAATGCCATAGTTTTCAATGGTTTATATTTTAAATGATTTGTTCAGTAGTCAGCTTGGCTTATAAACGATACAAAGTTAAAAGCTCAATGCCATCTTTACAATACAGCTTGAGTAGCACACTATGTCACACTTGGGTGTAGGTACAGTAAGAAGGAAGGATTAGGCAGACAAAGTGTACACTATTACAAAAGAAGTAACTATTTGTGTTGTTAGAAGAGTGTGCAAGGGCCACAGAGGTGATCATTGCACAGAATGATCCGTTCATTGATACAGCCGTTCTTCACGTTTCCCTGGTGCATATAGTACTAGCTTTTCTGTTGAAACTGATGATTTCTAGCTTGGATGTGCAATTCGGGTATTGGAAGATTTTCCAATATGGCCGCCAGGACCACTTCGACTTCTAATACCTGGAAACAGTCTAGTATCTCAGGAAAGTCTAGTACTAGATAAAAATTAGTAATGTAAGATAGGAAGTACCTATTCCCTATTTTACATTACATAATACTACATTTACATGAATATTGTGTTTTAATGTATAGGAATGGATGAAAAAACAAGAGATATGGTTTATGTGAAAAAAGCACACATTATGTTATATGCATATACAGTAAATACCTTTATATATGAACAAATCCACAAGGGCCGTGACGAGGGTTCGAACCTATGTCCGAGAGGATCCCAGACACTGCCTTAATCATATACATATACCTTTATATATGTGTGAGCTCACACAAGCTTTAGCCCATGGCAGAGCCAGACGTTTTATCCAGAGTTTACTGGTAGTGCTGCAACTACTCGGCAAGTGATTATCAGACAATAGCTAGTTAAGTTTATTTATTATGGACCCAATACCCATCTTGTGGGTGGTAGGGGAAAGGGTTACAGAGGCACATAATGGTCTCAGGGACTGAACCCCATTCGACAATAGCCTCAATGCTTTACTTTGCACAATATCATTTATTGGAATGTATCCTGTGGTTATTTTTTCAGAACAAGATCAATGTTTCTTTAAACCCTTGATTTGAAAAGCACTAATAACAGTAAACTGCACACAGATCTCTCTCTCGGATGATATTTGTAGACTTTCAACATTTGCAGCCTTCACATGATTCGCGTCCATGAGCCTAAAGGGTAGATCTCGCACAATTGTTACTGAACACTGGCAAGCCCAGTAAACATGCACATCTACCTGTGCATGTTTACTACCTCATCCAATATATTTGACATCTTTCATGATAACAGGATTTGTTCATCTGTTCTCAAATTGTTAGAAAATTCTGAAAACCATGAAATAGCTGCGATGATTTCTAAGGCAATAACAAGCTCCGTAATAAAGTGCCTGGAAGCCAACGCTGCCCCTACCGTGAGCCGTGAGCCTGGAAGCTGCCGTCACCGCTCCATGGGCCTAGAGGCCACTACTTCACTTCAAAATCACTGTCATCAGTACCAACTGGTTTGTAACAAATCGCCCACGTTGTATGTACATCATCTTCCTCTAAAAACTAGGCACAATCCTGTCAATGTGCTAATATTACACTCTAAAACGTGTCCAGACGTCTCGTCCTGCCTGGGACCCTCTTGTGTGTCCGCCGCCTGCGCACCACATCGCCTTCACATCGCATACATCAGTAGACCTACTGAATTAGTCTTATCATAAAAGCTAAATGTAGCACCCACCTCAAGCGTCCGAATACGAATATATGCAGGATAAGACGCCCCGAAGGGCGAGCATGGAAGTGGAGACAGAAGAATAAGGGGGGTGAGAGGAAGTACCTCAAGCGTTTGCTTGAAACAATATATATATAATATATATATACTACCCACCTCAAGCGGTCGCTTGAAACTATATATAGTCCCCACCTCAGCTTGAAACTAGCTATATATAGCTCCCACCTCAAGCATCCTCTTGAAACTATGCATAGCGCCCACTTCAAGTGTTCGCTTGAAAACTATACATAGCACCCACCTCAAGCGTTCGCTTGACACTATATATAGCCTAACATCCGCTTAAAAGTATATATATACCGTGTGTGTGTGTGCATTTACTATGTGTCTGCAGAATCGAGCTATTTAGGTGTGTACACTCACCTATTTGCGCCTGCAGGATAGAGCTCTAGCCCTTTGTTCCCGCCTTTCTACCCGTTGGTTGACTAATGCAATAATGGCTCCTGGCCTATTTCTGTATCATGCCTGCTTTTAAAGTTATGAATGGAGAACCTCTACAATCTGCTCCTTTAGGTCATTCTAGTGTGTACACTCGCCTAGTTGTGCTTGCAGGAGTTGAGCTTTAGCTCTTTGGTCCCACCTCTCGACTGTCAATCAACTGGTGTACAGATTCTGAAGCCTATTGGGCCCAATCAAATCTACATTTGAAACTGTATGGAGTCTGCCTCCACCACATCACTGCCTAATGCATTCCATCTCAACTACTCTGACACTGAGAAGGTTCTTCCTAACGTTCCTGTGGCTCATTTTGGTACTCCATTCTGGAGCCGCATATTCCAGGATTGGTCTTTGGTATACAAGGTTCTAAATGACTCCTTACACAATCTGATGTTAGCCAGCCTCGGAAACGCCGCTGAGGCTATCTATCCTCTTTGTGCGGGCTTCAGGAAACAGGTTCAGTGTGGTATCAACTCCTAGCTGTCTGTCCTATTCTTAGAGGACATCGTCTCCCATTTCGCGCCTTGAGTCACTACGAAGCTCCGAATGTCGTGTCGGTTTCAGACACATTATACAGTAGGAAAACTTGGCATGTTTTAATATTTGTAAAGTTTACACTCAAATCTCGGAAAACTAATTTAAGTTCACAAGTTAAAGGTGTTAAAAACACACAAACTGCTAGCCAAGCATATAAAGTTTTCCTAATGTAGGCTGAAAGTGACACGCTTGTCACCAAGTGAACCATGCCCCGTACCTCAACCTTTATCTAATTACATCGCCACTATCCTCGCAACTTTATCACAAATATGAGGAAAATTAAAACGAATTAGTTCATGAATGTAAAACACTGAGGTCCAGTTCCTGAACCCATTTTTAAATTTTGTTCCGAGGGGCGAGTAGTTTATTAGGCAGTGTAGACTAACTGTTCATTACAGCAAGCTTAACTAACCTAAATTATGAATAGACTGTTTGTTCGTTAAACTTAACTAGTTCGTCGAACATCTTTTAACTATTATTCCACCACAGTTGCTTTATAGTGCATCACTTTGAAAAATAACCTTAATTACATTAGGTTATTTCTTTCCAAACCACAACTTCTTCCTTCTGCCCTTTGGGAAGGAGAAGTGTATACTCCGTTCATATATTATGATGAAGATGAAAGCCATGAGGGGCGGACGAGTTACATACTGCTATCACAAGCCGGGTTTTCCTTACTGGTAGAAATACTATATCCAACATACTTATATCAGTGAGAGAGGATGAGGAGAGCTGTGCGGCAGTAACACTGGGTGAAGTATCGTCCAGGAGCCAGAGAGTGGTAGTGTTGTAGAGGGTTTAGCAGGAGCACCCCACGTCCAGCGAGAGGGCCAGCGAGGCGTGCACTAGCACCTCGCGCAGCAGAGCGCACTAACACAGCGAGGAGTGGCGGCGGTACGAGCGGGGCCGTGGCGCGCCGCTGACTGCTGCAGGCTTGGCCCACGTCACGTGTTAAGAATGGCCAGGAACAGGAAGGGTGGGGCGCCAGGGTGGGGGAGAGGGGAGGGGGGGCTGCAACCCACAGGGGAAGGCAACCGCAGTAGGAAGAGAGGGGCAAGTAAGGTGAGACGGGAGAGAGGGGCAAGCAGGTTAAGAAAAGGGGAGTAGAGTACAAGGGAAGCGTGGAAGAGGGGAGGCGGGGCGGGGCAAGGCGCAGAGAGGGCAGTGTGAAAGGCAGGACAGTAAGCTGATAATATTCTACTGTACTGACAAAGTACAGCATGAGGGGGAGGGTGGGATGGATGACGGTACGGGAAGGAGCGGAAGAGGGACGGGAAGGGAGGAGGGCGCCGCTGGATACAGGTGGCACTGACCCACAAGACCTGAAACCCCACACCCTAGCGAGGCCATGCACCTCGCTTCATCACCGTCTCTCCCCACAACCATAGTTACTGCCCCACAAGACTAAAACTGCCGTTTCTGGCGGTAAATCCCCGCCTCGTGTCCGTTATTTTCTTATCTTCCAGTTATCAGTGATATGACTGTTCCCCTCCACCTTCCTCTCCCCCACCCAGATTTCAAATGATCCATGGTACCTCCAAACTACTCCTCCACCTTTACTATCTTGAGCCCCCTGCCCCCCCCCCCCCTTTCAGCTAC